TGTGCACGTGTGTGGGGGGGTTTTCAGTTAAATTAAGCCTCCTCAAGCAGTTTTCTTTAGGCCGTTGAATCTAACTAGCCTGGGCCTAAGTCCACTCAGATACCTCGCTGCTCTACCTTATTTTACATAACCGGTCAATAGCAGACACAGAAAAATCCTGAATAATTAAATCCATGAATAAATGTAAATCCATTCTAGCAACAAAACACACCATAATGATCAGAAGACCAACAGTAAATGTCAAGCCCAGTGTGTATTAGTTACAGGGATGTCTTCAGTGATGGCAAAATAAAGGCTTAATTATGAAAAGTATTGTTAATGAGACAAGAAATGACCAAAATAGGAAGAGTGACACTCTACAAAATTACACAGTGGTTTTAAAACAATTCTTGATTAAATATGACATTATATATATTTTGAGCTCCCGAAGTTTAAAACAGCCTCTCTCTCTTTTGTCATCCATGCTACATCCATACTGTTACGGCATCAACTCTGCTATGGATACGACCGTAGTCCACACTAGTCTGGAGTTTAAGAGTCACTAAAACTTTGAAATTAGAAAACGCTGTTGGCCCTGTTTTAACTTTTGAAAAGTTGCATTTTAATCTGGATGAGCAGAAACAGAGCGGTTGAGAAACCATGACGTAGACAGACAGACCGCTTGCTGACTGGGTCTTTTCTGTCATGATGTAGCTTTGGATGATTCATCACACTCCTATCACATAACCGCCTTCCAGAAGAAAACCGCCGGCATCATCCTCGGCTACCAGTGTAGAAGACAACATGGATGATCAATTGCATGCACTGTTGACAGTTAAATTCTGCTTTTTACAATGATACATGTTGTGGAAAATCTGCTGATCAATGGTCAACTCATCAATGAAGAAGGAGGAAGTCTCTGTATCCAAAGGACCTAAAGCACAGGACTGTCTCTGCTGTTCTACTGCCCACTGAGGTCTAAACACCGTCTGTTCCTCTGGTTCCTAATAAATTAAATTTCATTCTAATTGACAATTTTTTCTCCTGATTGAAATGATGGAATGTTGCTTATGTTACATAAAGTCTGTGTCTACTTCAAGGCTTTATTTGTTGTGTTCCACGACTTCACACATATCGATGCATTGTTTATGATGGGGTTCTATAATGTGATATGTGTGTTTGCTTCCCTCGATGGTGTTGTTGGTTCCTTGCCCAGACCATTTCCTTTCTTTCCCACTATTTCTTTCATATTATCCACTAAATCACAGACTGCTGGTTTACGTCCTGCCACAGTGTTACAAGCTTGCAGGAACACATCAACTGTGCACGTAGAACCAGCCAGTCTTGTTCTTTGGTATTTGTTTAAGCATTGTTGTATTCTTCTGCATGAAATCAACAAGAATGGCAGGACAGAATAATCCAGGTTATCAACCCTGCAGTAAAGCTTTATTTATGTGTACTCTCCTGTAAGGCTGGAGCTCTTTTCGGAGGGGGCACATTACCTGTTTTCTGAAATATATTGTCTGGTGCTGCTGGCAAAGAGAAATGGTCAAACATAGAACAATAAGACCAGTGATCCTCTTCAAGGACAAACTGCCTATAGACCATTAAACATCAGCTTCTGTGGGGTATGTAATGACCTGCTCCCCTTTGTGCTGCCAAGCACAACATTATAGATGTAACCTGACTCAATTACAGATACATGTTCATTCCTGCCTCCTATTCTGTATCAAGGGTGTTTAAGATTCCTTTTTATTGTCCCACAATCATGCACACACAGCACTACATGCAACATGGGGAAATTTGACCTCTGCATTTAACCCACCCGTGAACACAGCACACACGGAACAGTGGGCAGCCACGAAGGCTCCCGGGGAGCAATTGGGGGTTTGGTGTCTTGCTCAAGGGCACCTCGGCAGTGCCCAGGAGGTGAACTGGCACTGCCAACTACCAGTCCACCTTTCATACTTAGGTCAATGCTGGACTTGAACCGGCCACCCTCCCAAGCCAAGTCTCTATGGACTGAGCTACTGTGTTAAAACTGTCAACATAATCGGGGGCTTTGCCACTTAATGAGAGCTATAGTGGTTTACAGCAGAGCAAGATATGACAACAACTTCCCTCTGAAGGAGATTTAACTCACAGACGCCTTCTCATTGGGCTTTTCACAGCCACAGCAAGGCATGGATAGATGATACTTGAATCATGGGATGTGACAGGCTCAAAGATGCAAAATTCACATTGTGTGTTTTATCCAATCAAGTTGAAATATTTGAAGTTAAGCGAAACATTTTCATGATGCAATGTCACGAAAGCCAATCAGCGTTGAGATTGAAAGTCACCACAGACACAGCCTGGCACAGATCCTAGCTAGTAGGTCATCAAACTGACCACTGGTCCTCCCTAGGTAGCGCTAAACTGGCATGGGCAAGATGATAAAATCACCCAAGCTTTTGGCGCCTCCGACAAAATGGCGCTGGCTTCTGCAAAGTTTCCTCAACAGGTACCACACAGCAATTGTAGTCACTTGAGCTAGTAGTCCTCTTCTCCTCTTTTCCCGAGGAGAATAGGTGAATATTTGCGGGTTGTGTTTAATGCGTTGCTTATGTGAGTAACCACAAATTATCCTGAGGCCAAAGTGGTGCAAAAATTTGCTTTTTGTTTGGTTCTCGCATAATACATCTTTTATTACAACATTACCACACAAACACAGGTTGGGTAAACCTAGGTGATTGACCCGTGTCCCATTGCCAATAGATGAGTTTGCCTTTCTTTGCTTTTTTTCTCCCGATGGATCATGTTCGACATCACAAACGTGCTGGAAACTCTCTGACCTCGTTGTCTTGCCAGTGTTGCATCTTGCATGATTCAAAAAACATATTGCTGTTGCATGAAAAACAAGCAAAGTACACAAACTTTCAGGTTTCATGTTCATGCACCAACACCTGGATATCCAATGCGTGTCATAATGTCAAAAGAAATTAGTGTGTCATCCAGGTGTAATGTCTCTGTCACTGTCGATTGGAGGCAGAGCCGAAAAACACCTGTTTCATCTGCAGAGTCATTTGAACCAGGAGTGAATGCCATTTGTATCCATACGTGTTGCAGACAACAGTCTGGCCATCGTGTGTGTTGGAGGGTTTTTGGACCAGTGGAAACGGAGCTTATGAGTGATAACAGGTCTGAGTTTGAATGAGAGCACTTGCAATATTTGTGAGAACCGCAGGAGTGCTCATGTCCTGCAGGAAGAAATGATGCATTACTTGTAATTACTGTCTAGTGGTGATGTAACTGGTTTGGTGGTTACAGGAATGGCATGTATTTTACATCATTGTAATGACTCAACCAAACTTTTAATTCACCTTGGACCAAAATCAAAAATGTACTGTATGACCGCTGCCAGCACTCTGAGCCTCCGGCAGAGATGAAGAACATGCCAACAGGTGCCTTTGAGTGCACTTTTAAAAATACACACACAGCACAAAGGCATGCATTTCACAGGTTTGCAATACCTTCTGGGTATTTGTAGAGTGGGTGTTTGTAGAGTTTTTTGTAAAGCAAACCTCTGGGCCTCCATCGTGACATGTCTTGCAGATATCCACCTCTGACACCTTGTGACGTAAGGAGCCTTTAGATTAAAGAACATCAAGTTGTACTGCAGACGCTGGGGGCCACTTCTCTGAAGCTGTTTTCAATCTTTATTCTTACATTCTGCAGAGGAGCTGTATGTGTGAATGCAAATATCTGAGTGAGAGGCTTCTCCGGACTTTCTCTGGAGTGTCTAGCCCTCTGGTACAAACTCCAGAGAATGTCTGAATGAGCTCCTCCACAGGATTCTTTGCAAGCAAGTGGGTGTGTTGATGACGTTTCTAACATATGACAGACATAAATTTGAGTTTAAAAAAAGGAACACAAATATCTCAGGATGAAGAGGCAGTGCCATGCACATCGAGACACGAATAAAGAGAGCTTTTTGTGATCAATTCCGATGCCACTGTTGATGTGCTGTAAACAAAAACCTGATCTCCGCAGTGCATTTAATACGTTACATCCTGCCTCTGCCTGCTGCACCACCCCTCACCTGAATAGGCCGGACATTTCTGTGTTGTTGTTAACATGTCTGAGAATCTCCTGCTCCATTGTTCACGTGTGAAAGGCAAACTGCAGAATAATCGAGGAGACCTTAAGCGGAGCTCACATCTGAAACCGGCTTTAATGCGACACCCTAACTATCTAATTCTGGATGATCGCTGCACTCAACAAGCACATAACAAGGAACATCCATGTGAGCCAAGGATAACGCTGTGCGAGTCAACATGGCGACACCCTGCTGCTGAATTAACACAAAAGTATGGGACAACAATCTCCATAACACTGTGGTTTACAAACAGGAGTACATGGAACAATATATTAACAATTGTTTTCATCATCTTAAAAAGGGTTTTACTATATATCGCTACTGTGGATGCAAGATGAAGTTCGGCTCAAACTATTTCAACCGTTACAACACAGCATGGAGTTCACTCAGGACCAGATCTTCTCCTTAGAAAATGCATGCTCACTGTTAAAATAGCAGCTGTTGCCAGAGATTAAAAACAACTGAAGGAAACTATCCACAGTTTAGTGTGCTCACTGCAATCAAATCACCAACATCAGATTTCACCATGTGATCACAATCTTCTAATGTTTACTTTCAGTCTGATGCAACATGTCGCAAAGCGAAAGTCAGCTCAAACTGAACACGAGTCACTATGTCTGAAGTACGTTTACCCAGGCGACAAAGAGCTGAGTTTTGAGCAGAAAGTGACCCTGCCCAGCACAAGTGTGATGTTCCTGATGAAGTGCATGGTATGTATGAGTACACAGGGGAGTGCAAAAACAGGCAGGGGGTGTAAAAGTGGCACACCACTGCCACCATGTGAAATCTCAGTGAGAAAATCTCATCCTGCTGTTAAAGCTTGAAGTAGACAGCCTGCGTTTTCTTTCATTTATCACAACAATAATGAGAAAGAGTCAATCACTTTGGTTCTCAGATTTATTTTATTCAGATTCATTCAATGTCATGTTGCTGCTGCAAAGGCTTTTACAAAATAAATCTGGTTTCAACATAGTTTAACTTGGAGGCAAGGAAAGGCAAAACCAAGCAAGGAAACATTTGACAGAGCAGTAAAAGGGAACAAGCCAGTGATGAAACACTTTAAAGTTTAAATGCAAACACGTAACGTCACACAAATGTATAATTTTCCTATTCTGTTATGATCGGATTTGGTCTATGACTTGCTATTATTACTGATATCCAATAACACAACTTTCCCTGTTCTCTCCTTCCTTGCTTAGTTTCAACACCCTTGTTATTTTGCCATTTTTTCTTATGTCAGTGCACAGACATATCAAATTTCATTGCACTAACTGACCTTGGTCTTGTGTGTTTAAACTTTACCTTCAGAAACTCTTGTTAAATCATGCTGAAAACAACCAGTGATCCTTAAAACACATGATGGCAGTGTAACACAATTTTGATATATGTATTTAAAAGAATCAGATTTTTGGGATATTCAACCTTCTTGTCAAACATTAATAACAGTATCACTTAGCACCCTGAAGGATCGCAGCTTGATGAATGTCAAGAGTTTCTGAAGGGGAAGAGGGACGGCTCTCCTTTTTTAATAGACCCTCCTGTTGCTGGTTGATGTGACTGTGGACTTGGTGATGGTGCCACCATAACCTCCACTGATGCTGCTGCCACCATAACTACCACCCATGCTGCCACCATAGCCGTATCCACCACTGCTGGAGCTGGAAACTCCTGGAGCAGGACAAAACAAAAGACAGGAAGTGTTAGCATTTATTCATTCATGTCTAAGTGTGGTGAGTTGGATTGGGTGTCACTTATGATAATGATGATGTTTAAAATCTGACACTTACCTCCAGAGGACTGCACATGAATGGTTGCGTTGGAGCCGGTGGCGAGTCTAACGGTTCAATGAAGTTCAGTTAGTGTTTCATTCAGAGTTGAAAGTGATGCTACAGCCACAAAACATTGAGCACTAAACATTCAAGTGTATCCCACCTGTCCTCCTCTCCTTCCAGCAGTTTCCTGTAGGTTGCGATTTCGATGTCCAGGGCCAGTTTGACGTTCATCAGCTCCTGGTATTCACGCACCTGGCGGGCCATGTCCTGCTTGGCTCTCTGCAGAGCATCCTCCAGGTCCTTGATGCGGAGCTTGGCGTCCTTCACTGCCAGCTCACCACGCTCCTCGGCCTCTGCGATCTGGGCCTCAAGGTTTACCCTCTGTGGGCAAACATGTGATTTACTAACTGCAAATCTTATACAATGAAGTATGCTAATGATAAGGTTTGTTTCCGCAAAGGCTCCTGAAATGTACCTGTCCTTTGACAGCCTCGATCTCATTCTGAAGACGGGAGATCATGCGGGTCAGCTCAGAGATCTCAGCCTTGGTCGTGCGCAGATCGTCACCATACTGTCCAGCTGAAGACTCCATCTCCTCGTACTATTAAAAATAAAAAACGTGTGTCGTGATTATCCAGAAGTAAGAAGACGGGACTACATGGGTATTAACATTGTCTTTGCTTTTCACGCACCTTCTGTCTGTACCAGCTCTCTGCTTCAGCTCTGCTGCGGTTGGCAATATCCTCATACTGAGCGCGCACTTCAGCCACAATTGCGTCCATGTCAAGGTTACGGCTGTTGTCCATCTCCACAACGACAGAGGTGTCCTTGATCTGGCCCTGCAGCTCGCGAAGCTCCTGCAGAAACATTGGTTGATGTAACACAAACAATTATTTATCTCTTTTAGCTGCTTTATACAACATCTGCATGATCATAAGCTGTAACAAAAGTGTTTATTATGGAATAATGAAATAAATAATAGTAGACAAAATAGTTAATACATACAGCCTCATAGACAGCCCTGAGGAAGTTGATCTCATCCTGAAGAGCATCAGCCCTGGCCTCCAGCTCCACCTTGTTCATGTAGGCAGCATCGACATCCTGGAAGGGAAATGATGTACAAACAGGGACTGTTATAACTGGGGGCCATACATTTCAAGGATTTAAAAAACATTCTTAAGGAGCATTTTGATGTATTCAAACCTTCTTCAGGAGTACAAACTCGTTCTCTGCAGCTGCACGCTTGTTGATTTCATCCTCGTACCTGTTGGACACAAGGGGTGAGTACATCTCTTTGTTTTGAAAATCTGCTTATCATATTTAAGGGCTCATTCAAACTACTGGCAACACTCACTTTCTCTTGAAGTCCTCAACCAGGCCTTGCATGTTCCTGAGTTCTCCCTCCAGCTTGACTTTCTCGTTGCCCAGCCCATCGAGCTGTCTGCGCAGGTTTGAGATGTAGGCCTCGAACATGCCCTCGATGTTGGAGCGGGTGGTGGTCTGGTCCTGCAGGAGGCTCCATTTGGTCTCCAGCATCTTGTTCTGCTGCTCCAAGAATCTGACCTGTGAGGGTAAAAACCCAGAGAGGATCGTCACATGTTGCTCTAAAAGGTTTTTTATGACATTTTAAAAACGGAACAAATGGAGATTGTGGTGTGACTGGTGCAGTAGATGTAAGTGATATATCACTGAGTTGTGTTCGGACAATATGGTGATTGAAAGATTCTCATCATTTTAAAGAAGAGGATCATCCTGAAAAGGATTTTAAGGGTGTGTCCTTGTGGTATCGGGTCTTCAAATGCCTCACCTTTATCAGCATGACTGCATAGATAGCTGCATATTTGGGAAGCCACACCCAGAGTCATAACAATTGCAACTGATGAAGCCTTATCTTTGTGTATACACTGTCCTGTAGTAGAACATAGACTGCTTCTTTTTTTTTTAAGTCTATCAAATGAAAGTGTGTTCTACCCAGATGTTTCAGCAGTATGTGTACAGTATGCGGCTTTAAATGTTTCACATTCTGCATGCTCTGCTGTACTATGAAGGCCACACAGTCGCTGCAGCCATAAAAAAAAACAAGGTGTGGCAGATAAGCCGGATAAGACAAAGCAGAACAGTGTTGTGAAAGAAATGCTTTGTATTGAGAGTTTTTGTCCAAGAATTCTCCCTCTACAGAAAAGGCAAAGCAGTGAAGACCTTGTGATATTTTTGTATTTAAATTAGAGAAAGTTCAAATACAGCTCTGTGTTTTTGTTGCCCATAACAACCAAGTGAAAAGGTGAAGAGTGCAAACAGCAGACTTTGGACTCTGTGGGCAGAGTGCAGAAATATCCCTGATCTCTAGCAGTCTGCCAGGTGAGGGATTGGCAGGTTATTGCTATATAATCCCCACCCATGTTTAGATAGTGGGCAGAGAGGAGGAAACCACAGGCTTGGAGAGGGCTACTTTAGCGTAGGTTTCGTATTGAGGTGGCAGTGTACGATGGGCTCATGATTACTAGCAGACTTTATACACATGACTATATCCAGAGGTTGTAACTCATTGATGGTTACAACACGACAGAGATAAGCCTTACAGCTCTCTGGCTTTGACAATAAAAACATGCACAATGCTCAAAGGTTTCAGTACAAAATCACTTTGCTGCTACTCTACTATATACTGAAGTTCTAACTTTCTATTCGTGTCTTTTGAGATACTTTCGAGAGCCGTTAGAAGTAAAGAAGTAAAGATAAGTAGGAATAAGGTTGTCAGTGCAAAGATAGTGAGGCCTACAGTTTACTGCACTTCAGACAGCTCTCAGAAACCAACCTTGTCGATGAAGGAGGCGAAGCGGTTGTTGAGGGTCTTGATCTGGTCCTTCTCCTGGGTTCGGACAACCTGTATGGTGGGGTCAATCGCCAGGTTCAGTGGGGCCAGCAGGCTCTGGTTGACTTGGACAGCTGTGATCTGTGGTGGGAAAGCACCTCCGCCTTGGCCAAAGCTGCCATAACTGCCACCCCCTTGGCTGGAAGTGAAGCCATAAGCACTACCAGCACTAAAGCCAGCACTAGGAGCCGAACCAACGCCAAAAGTGCTTCTCTTTGAGATGGTGTAGCTGCCACCGACTGGTGCGGCAAGAGACCTCCTGCTGCTGCTAGTTACATAGCCTGAAACAGACCTTGTCTTTCTGTTGATGGACATTGTCAAATCTTGAGCAGTGCAATAGACTGAAGATGAACAGGATTCAAAAGGAGAGCCGATTCCCTCTGAGTGTCTGACTGCAGCCTCTGCCTGCTTTTATGGCCACGTCGAGCCAGTGGGAGGACCTTCCTCAGCCACTTGAACCTGTACTCTCACTTTTGCCGGCCAGCCTCCTCTCCGCCTTGGCCTACACGCCTCTGGCCCTGAATGACAGGAGTGGCCCTTCCTGTAAAACAGGTAGGGAGGGATAGTCAGCCGATAAGCAGAGACACACCCTGCACCAGGACAAGCTGAGGAGGAAGGGAGAGTGGGGGGTAGAGAAGAGTGAACATGTGATAATTCAAGGACAGTTTATTTTCATAAAATCCATTTCATTTTAAACATCCATTGTGGTCAAAGATACAAAAAATTACAGACTCAAAAACATTACATGAAATAAAACAAATACACAAATAAACTGCATTGAAATGTACTTATCTTAAAATATAAAGCATGTAACACAGGATGAAACAATGC